CAGGTTGGGAGGTAGCCCTTCGCCTAAGAATAGATTTTCGTACAAGATCAGATTATCCAAACCTCTAAAAGAACTGTTCTACTTTCGTCTTTTTAAGGATTCTGATTCTCTCGCCGCCATGACAAGTGAGGATGCAGTAGAGAATTATTCTGACCTAGTTAAGCTTATTAAAAATCATCTTCAGGCCCTCTCCCCGGGGAAGGACATCTCCCCGCGCTCAGTGTTGATCAGAAAATTTAAATCCCCCCCTATATGGTGGGACGACGAGTGCCAGGCACTGATAGAGAATAGGAGAAAGGCATTGCGTGCATTCAAAGATAACTCATGCATGAGTCATTTTCTTAACTATAAAAAGTCTTGTGCGCTGGCAGCAAAGTCGCTACGCAAAATCAAAAGAAAGAAATGGAAAGATCTTTGCAATTCATTCGACAGTAAGACCCCTACGGTCAAGCTATGGAAATTAGTCAAAACATTTAAGAACAGAAACCTCAGTGACAACACTGACGGTCTGACACCTGCCTCCTATTCTACTATCATTGAGCAAGCCATCAGCAAACTCTGTCCAGATTCTTGCTTGAATAATACATTTAAATCTCTCCAGGATATGATACTAACAGATACACAAAATCCGCGCATTATTGCAGAACTCGACCAGGATATAACAAAGGAGGAATTTGATTTAGCTTTAAACTCCACCAAAGCAAACTCGTCATCGGGATTGGATCAGATAGGATATGATCAGATAGGATACTGCATTAGGGAGCTTCCTCAGGCATACCGGGACAAACTCCTGGAAATTTTCAACGACATTTTTAAATCAGGAGTTTTTCCGGAAGACTGGAAAACTTCTCTGGTTATATTCATCCCCAAAAGCGGAGGACGCGGGGTTAGACCTATCTCGCTTATATCTTGCATGCTTAAAATTTTGGAAAAAATAATATACTTCAGGTTACGCTGACTCGTGGAATCTCGGCATATCTTGCCCGATTTCCAATTCGGATTCAGGCCATCGAAATCATGTGCTGACAATTTGAGCTCTTTTACGAACTATATACACTCCGGCTTCCTCAGATCAGAACAAACGGTTGCAGTGTTTCTGGACATTCAAGGAGCTTTCGACAATGTTTGTCCGGCAATTCTAATTCAGGACTTATCCGACATAGGGATTCCGGCGCGATGCCGCAAATTCATCGAGAATCTCATAAGTGAGAGACTCATTTTCTTTGTTAAAGACGGCAAACTAGAGGGCCCGATTCTCGCCCACAAGGGCACTCCTCAAGGTTCGGCGCTTAGTCCACTCCTTTTTAACATATACCTAAGACTCATTAACAAGTACATCCCGCAGGGAATTCATACCTTGCAATACGCGGACGACATCGTCTTGTTCACAACGAACAAGGACGTAGGAACAGCTCTTGACGCTATACAGGTAGCGCTTGATAACATTTGGCGTTTCTTACGTTCTAGAGGCCTGGAACTCTCGCCTGACAAATCCAGCTGGATACTTTTCTCGAAGGCCAAGGCTGATCCTGTTCCTCCTAATAAGTTTCTGCACATCGACAATCGCTCTATTCCTCGTGCCTTTTCCATACGCTTCCTGGGGATCATTCTTGATCCGGTCCTTAAGGGGGATGCCCATCTCAAATATCTAGTAAGAAAGGGCAAAGCTGTGGCAGACGTGATGGCGTCAATCGCGGGCACTTCCTGGGGGGCGCACCCCGACGCTTTACTCACCATTTACCGCGCAGTCTTGCGCGGCGCAATTGAATATGGCTGCCTGGTGTTCTGCATCAACGGAAACAAGGCAACCTTCCTGAAATTAGAAAGACAACAATTTCGTGCCATCAGAATCGCCATGGGCTATAGAAATATAGAATCTCTACGCCAATCAGCGTAATGCTGGCGGAGGCGAAGGAAGTTCCTTTACGAATAAGGTTTATTTACCTTACGGACAAATATCTGACCAAAGCATACTCTCAAAAATTTAGTCCGGTTCTTAGCAGTCTGAAGCATATAGAATCTTCGGCCTCCACCGACGTTCTCGTAATCAGGGCTCGAAAGAATGTATCGTTATTTGACAGATACCTGGCTACCAGGCACACAATAAAAGAC